TATGGTTATAATTAGCAAAACCCCTACTGCCCATACTGCACATATTGCCCATATTGCCCGTGAAGGGAACTTGTGGAGTCATCTCGGGGTGCTGTATGTGCATGGATGGACGGTAGGTGGAGTTGAAAATACGCATTTGTCGTTCCATCTCTTCCAACCTTTCTCTTGTTCTTCTTTGCTCTTCATCCCGTATCCGAGCTTCTTCATCCCGCCTTCGAGACTCTGCTTCACATTCCTCCAATAGTTTCTCGAGGCGGGTAACCCGATCATCATACGTCGAATGAGAAGATGAGCTAGCTCCTTTGGCCTTCTCTAGGATCCGTACGCCTTCAGAACCCATAAGCATCACCCGGCCCTTGTAAACTCCGGTTGCCGCCAAGATGGCCTCATGTTCTTGATTTTCATCAAGTTCGTCATCAGAATCAGCTAGCTCATCAACTCTCTTCCCCCGCTCTTCCTCATATTTTTTCTACAAGTTCAAAAATTTATTATATAAGAGATAAAAAAAATCGAAATTTATTGAATTATTGAAGTTTCATTATTTACTTCAATTTCAGAAAGGCGGGGAGGCGGCATGGCACCCTTCTTTGTCCAGCAATGTGCCATGAGTTTCAATGGCGTGACCCGTTTTTTCACGGGTCCAGATCCTTCCTACACGGATTTTAAAGTTTATAAAAAAATATATACATAAGGGTATGGAATGGAAATAATTTTAACTAATTAGAGTTTACCAGATCTTTTTTATGTTGAATTTGGGGTTTGCGGCCCCCATGCCATTGAACTTCCTTGGCTTTCTCGGAGTTCCGGTTTGCCTTGACCGTTTCGCTTCTGAGCAAAAATGCGGCATCCGTAGCCCAGTGGCGGCAAATGTATTATTAAAGGTTACCGCTGGAAAATCAATAATTGAGGTTTGTCACAGATTTTGTCACGGATGGATCCGTGACAAAGTTTTTTTGAAATTTGTCACGGATTTGTCACGGAACAGTCCGTGACAGATGCCCGGAAGCAAAAAAAGTATTCACCGGAGTAAAAAACCGGTCGCCGGAGTAAATTTGTCACGGACCAAATCCGTGATAATATTTTGTCACGGATTTTGTCACGGACCTATCCGTGACAAAACATTTTCGTGACAAATCCCAATATTCCGTGACAAAGCCTGTGACAACTTTGTCACGGCCGTAATCCGTGACAAAAATCCGTGACAAAGGGCGAGTTTTTTTGTAGTGCAAGGAAAAGAAAAATAAAGGGAAAACTATCAAATAAGCCCTCGTACTATACCGAAAAAGTCGATTAGGCCCTCGTACTTTACAAACACTCAATTAAGTCCTCGAACTATTAAAAAACGTTCAATTAAGCCCTTTCGGTCGGTAAGTAACCGGTTTCCCGGTTAAATGTAACCTGTTTCCCGGAAGCCACTGTTGCTGGAGTTCGAGCACATCGTCGCCATCGTCGTTGTTTAATCGGGAAATCGGTTACTTACCCACCAAAAGGACTTAATTGAACGTTTTTTAATAGTTTAAGGACTTAATTGAGTGTTTGTAAAGTACGAGGGCCTAATCGACTTTTTCGGTATAGTACGGAGGCTTATTTGATAGTTTTCCCAAAAATAAACAAATAACAAGAAAGTAAATAACTCAACCCACAGTGCAATAGAAGTCCCCTTCAGTTTTTAATTCTCAAATTCAGGTTTGCAGCGAGTTTGTGATAAAGGTCCTCATCTGATGCGATCGTCGATTCTTCTTTCCGTACATTTTCATTTGAGTGTTCAAATTATTTGTAGGCATGTAATTTTCTCTTGTAATCAACAAAGTTGTGACAAATTTCTCATTTTTCATCGGTGTCTCATTGATCTTCTACCATCCAAACAGGAACACTCTTCTCATTTTTTGAAGCATGACCAATATAGTTTTTTCTCATATGTGAAAAGAATGTATTGCTATAAGCTTCCTTACAAGTTACTTCAGTAGAAAACAATTTATTAAAAGAAGTGGAATGCACAATATCAACTTGTAGCAAGATTTCCGAAATTGAAAAATTTGTCATTGATGTCTATTCCCATCCGGCCAAAGCATGAGAGGATCCAACTTGAAGTTAGGACTGAAGTTACCTAAAAAGGCTTTACATGTTTACTAATTTGTAAAAACACATCATCATCACCATCAAACTACAAACTACATGTATACACAAGTTACAAATTAAAATAATTGTACTACATATTATTTTAGAAAGTCAAAGTATATAAACTTAACTACATCACTAACATAACAACCTCACAAGTCACGACCTACACAAGGAATTTGCAATAACTTATCCGTATAACATACTACCTCCATCCCGGTGGACTTTATCAATAGGTGAGAAATAAGAATAGTAAAAACTGTGTGATTGATATTTGTGCAGAGAAGATAAAAATGTGCAAAACCACAAATTAGTTGATTTAATAGAAAAGTGACAATATTTTTTAGACAATCAAAATGAGAAAATTGGTAAAGTCCAATGGAACAGAGGGAGTAATACACTAATTTTCTAATATTAGAATGCAAATGCTAAGGTTGTTTTTACTTGGACTGTAATTCGTTCCAGACCAGACCAGGCCAGACCAAAACAGACTAAAACAGACCAGACCAGACCATATTATTATTATTATTATTATTATTATTAATTATTATTATTATTACTATTATTACTATTATTATTCTTATTATTATTATTATTATTATTATTAGGGGTGTGCACCGGTTCAAAACCGGACCGTACCGAACCGAACCAGATATCATTCCGGTTCGATCCGGTTTCGGTTTTTCTGGTCTGGTTCGATCCGGTTTTCCGGTTTAAACTGGATAGTTCACGCCCCTAATTATTATTATTATTATTATTGTTATTATTATTATTATCATCATCATCATCATCATCATTATTATTATTATTATTATTATTCCGGTTCGATATGGTCTGTTTTTTGGGGTCTGGTCTGGTTTGGTCTGATCTGCTTCGGTCTGGGATTGAAATCGGACAAAGTGAAACGATAATAATTTTCTATAATTTGGAAGGAATATTATTATTTTTAATTATAAATGAATAAAATATAATTATTTATGGATTATAATATATATATAAACTAAAAATCTTTATGCAAAAAATATAAAAAATAAAATTTCAAACCAAATCAGACCACACCAGACAAAAACAGACCAGACCAGACCAGAACAAACCAAAACAGACCAGACCAGATCAGTTTATTACGGTCCAAATAAAAACATCCTAACAATAAATATTGGGACCGATGTTTACAGTTTAATAAATACGGAGTAAAATTTTACGTTTCAATTAATTCAATTTATCTGATCGAATTCAGAGACCAAACAATAAAGGTTCAAATTGATTTATTCAATTTATTTTCAGATTTGATTTTCTTTTACCTTTTGATTACCATTTTCCTTTACGAATTTAGGTTTCACAAAAAACATTTTGGGTGAATAAGTCCTAACGTATGGGAGTTCCTATATAGTGCATCCTGTTGTACGTACACCCGGTCCAAGTAAAAAAGACGGTCCAATCACTAATACAGGCCAAAAAAAATTCGGTGGCATATTTGTAATTTAAGAGAAAATTCACGGCTTCCGCTAAATGAGCAATATTGTACGTTTAGTGAGCATCCAACCTATTTTATTGAGTATTACGAGGCTAACAATGAGTAACACAGTCTCAACTTCATATCTTCTAATTTTTGTTCTTTTTCTTATTTTTTCTTTTATAAAAACTTATTAAATTATATTTATAATAAACTCTTATGAATTTCAATATGTGAATTTAGTGTAATATGATACTTTTGAAATATGCATTGATATGACATTTTAAAATGAGCATAACATCAATACAAAATGAGCATACGTAACTTTCAAAATGTTAATTGATATGAAAATCGCAAAGTTTGTTAGTTTGACATAACAACGTTTTCAATGAGCATCAAACCTTATAAGATCATTGATGAATTTTTAATGAGAATCAAACCTTATAAAATCGTAATGTTAAATGAGCATTAATGATTTTTTAATGAGCATCAGACCTATACAAATGAGCATATATAACTTATAAGATGAGCATTGATATAAAAATTGTAAGTTTTGTTCGTTGAGCGTCAAGACATTTTCAGTGGGCATCAAACATACGTTATTGAGTATTAGAATCGTGCTATTGAGGGTCATGATTTGTGGTCTCGTGTCTATAATCAAATTATATGTGAATCTAATGTAATATGAGATTTTTGAAATATGCATTGATATAACATTTTAAAATTAGCATAACGAAGGTACTAAATGGACATGCATAACTTATAAAATGAGTTTTCAAAAATTCAAAAGCTAATTTGTGTATGTCCATTCTTTTTAGACACTTTATTTATTTGAGTTAAAGCTCTCTAATGTGCTTGGTATTAATATACGGAGTATAAAGAAAAAGAAAGAAGGAAACAAGAAAAGAAAGAAACGAAAAGAATAAAAAGATAAAAGAAAAGAAAGTAAACTAACTGACCTAAAAGAAACAAAAAAAATAAAATCAAAAAGATAAAACACAAAATGTAAAACAACTAGCAGGAAAGATCAAATAGAATGACGGTTGGAAAAGAAAGAAAAGGAACGGGGCAGCTGGAAATGAAATAAAAGGAACGATGGCGGCAGAAGAAGAATGAAAAGGTTTGAAGTTGCAGGAAATTGCAAAAATACCGGGTGTATATGTACACCACGATGTACCCTATAATTTGACAACTTATGGTACCCTTAACCGGTTAACCCCCGTCTAAAAAGGTTGAATCCCCAACCCCAAGCCCCCCCACCCCGACCCGACAGAATGATGGGGGAGTAAATCACGGTGACTCAGTCGGTAAAGCGGCAGTAGACCTTTACCCGTGCGCATCAGAGGGACAACCTTATTTCAGGTTCTGAAAACCTCCTTTTGGCCGCTGCGGGATTCGAAACTTGGTCTAATCTCCAATTTTTCCCACAGTTGGATCAACTGAGCTACAGTGCAGGTATAACCCGTTAACCCTCGACATGGCTGTGAGCCCTCTTTTTCAGTTGAAAGCTTAGGGCTACCTCCCCCGTTACTTCCTCCAATAAGCAAATCGAAAGCTTCCCCTTAAACCCTTAAACCCAGCAACTTACGGCCATACGACTATCACTTGGAGCTGTACCATGAATAGGAGCATGAATAAGAAGAAGAAAGTTTCGTCTTCTTCTAAAAAGAATAACAAATTTGCTGATCCGTTTTTCGAGTCAGAAGGGGGCGACAAGAAGCGCCGCCGCAGCAAGTTCCTGGATGATGACATAGAGAGCAGCGATGATGACGGAGTCGACTTGTTCGAAGGTGAAGGAGGAGGGGATGATGCTGAAGAGGGTAATGAAGTTGAGGAAAGTGTGGCCGAGAAGAAGAAGCGACTGGCTTATACTTACTTGGAAAAGATTAGGTCTATTGCCAAGAGGGACGAGGAAGATACACAAAGCGGGGACGAGAATGATAGAGAGGAAATTGATGGAATGAGAGACTCTATGGTTGCCAAAATTTTGCAGCAGGAGCAGCTGGAAGAGAGCGGCCGCATCCAAAGAGCCATTGCTTCCAGGTTAAAACTTGAAAGTGTTTATTTTGAATACAATTCGTCTCTCTCTGGCTAAAAACGAGAATTAAAATGATGTTGTTTGATCATTTTCTTGGTGGGGGGCTGGGATATGATATATGATGTGCTAACTTTTAAAACTTTCAGTATTTCATAATATCCTTTACACTTGTAAAATTCTTTTCCAGCAAATCATCTCGTTATGGTTCTGCTTTTGCTTCCATGCCCAATAGGAGGAATTGAATACTGGTGCTTCAACCTTTTATCCTAGCTCAAGAGTAAATTTTGTTTAGTGATTACAATTGACTAACTGCTATTGTAGTGTAAAGACTATTGAGATGCATGAATGCATCAGAGGTAGACACCATCTAATCCATGCCATTTCCCATTGCAACTGTGAATTTTGTTGCACAGTATATGTACTTGGTCATGTTGATTCGACCCATTCATTTCGCCACTAACATACTTTCTTCCCCATTTTGGTTTTGGAGGGTAGGATTTTTATTTCTGTATCTTTAGAGAGCTGTCTGGTAGTAGTGGTCATTTTTTTTTGGAAAGCCTTAACGTGAACTGTTGATGGCAATGAATTTAGAGGCTTATAAAATCTATGTGAACATGTAGAATTCGGGAACCAGAACCTAAAGATGGATTTCGAATTTTACTAAAACATCGACAAGCAGTTACTGCTGTCACTCTCTCTGAAGATGACTTGAAGGGGTTTTCAGCATCCAAAGATGGTACTATAATTAGCTGGGATGTACATATGAATGGGAAGAAAGAGAAGTACTCCTGGCCTAGTGATGAAGCTCTGAAGTCTCACGGATTGAAGGAGCCACAAGGTCGAGCTTCAAAGCATAGTAAACATGTTTTAGCATTGGCTGTCAGCACTGATGGCAGGTATATGGCAAGTGGGGGCATGGATCGTCATGTTCATTTGTGGGATGTCCGAACACGAGAACATATTCGGGTATAGACTTGACATTGAAAACTATTCATTTTAAATATATATGTTGTATTTATTTTTAGACTTTCTTTAACTCTTGGGATCATGGACACAGGCTTTTCCAGGTCATAAAGGACCAGTTTCGTGCTTAATATTTAGGCAAGGAACGTCAGAGCTATTTTCAGGGTCATTTGATAGGTCAGTGAAGATATGGAATGTTGAGGATAGAGCTTATGTAAACACATTATTTGGGCACCAAGGTGAAGTTTTAACAATCGATTCATTGAGAAAAGAACGAGTCTTGACCGTTGGACGGGACCGAACCATGCACTTATTTAAGGTTTTTGTTAAGAACTCCATGTTATTATTATTCATGTTATAATATAAAGTGGTTTGTTGTATTTCGATTGTGGTATTATAAATTCTACTATATCAAGCTGTTAAATTTACTACCCTGATTTTTAATTATTGAAATGCGATGGTAAAAAGTCCAAATTTAGTGCTCTTTTCCATCCCACTTCTTTTATTATCATTTCCTGCAGTTAATGAAGTGAAAAGCAAGACAGTTTTATGGGTTTATCAAATTTTCATTGTGCAGAAGTGATCATTAGCAACTAATTTATAGCTGACACCACCCCTACTTTTCATGAACAGGTTCCCGAGGAATCACAGTTTGTATTCCGCGCTTCTGCTTCCCTAGAATCCGGCTGTTATGTCAACAATGATGAATTTTTATCAGGTTCCAGTGATGGAAGCATTGAGCATTGGACCGTAAAGAAGAAGAAACCCATTCATGTTATTAAAAATGCACATCCTTCTATCACTGAACAAAAAAGTATAGGATTACTGTCAAATGGTGACATGGGTAAGCTATGTCACACCCTTGAATAAAAATTGAGTTTCTTTTTTGTCAACTGATATTAGTTTTTAAAAAGCAATTGCCTTAAATAGGTGTGAATTTCAAAATAGAACTGTCATGTTTTTATTCCCTAAATAGGAGTAATTTACTGCCATGTTTTGGCATTTCCATACTTTAAACATGACAGTATTTTTCAAGCTTGGCAGTAATTACTCCTATTTAAAGAGTAAAAACATGACAGTTCTATTTAGGAATTCCAAAATGTTTGTACTCCTATTTCGTAATTTTCCCATTTTTAATCCTAATACCACTTCATTTTAACAAGAAAAATAGCTGAATTCAGAAACATCAAACTTTACAGGAGATGTTGCATTAAACCCTGAAGGAAGCACTTCATCTGCACTCTCCTGGGTTGGTGCAGTAGCCGTTTGTAGAAGCAGTGATCTTGCTGCCTCAGGTGCAGGAAATGGTCTAGTACGTCTTTGGAAACTTGAGAGTGATTCCAGAGGCATCTCTCCTTTGTTTGAGATTCCATTGGTAAGTGTATGCCTCCATTACAACAACAACAACAACATTCAAGCCTTAATCTCAAGAGTTTGGGGTCGGTGAAGATGAATTGACATATGAAATCGGAGTTAAAAATAACATCAGAGTTAAATATAAAGACATACTCCCCCTCCACTTTACGCTCTCCATAGTCATACTCTCATCTTAAACATTGTAATCCACATCTGTCTAGTTCTCTCCCCCCTATCCTCCCTGTCTCCTCTCCCCACCTCTCAATTTGTGTATCAGGTGCATCACTCATTCTTCTACACACATGGGCAAACCACAGTAATTGAGACTTTCGCACCTTATCTTAAAATAGATATTACTTCTGCTTTTTGCATGATTATTTCGTTCATCAAGCTGTCTTTTCTAGTATGACCATGCATCCAATGCAATATGCGCATCTCAGCCACAATAATCTTTTGAATGTGACATTATTTCATCGCCCAACCCTCTATGTCATACAATAATGCAAGCTTAATTGTTGTTTGATAAAACTTACCTTTCAGTCTAGTCGGCATATCAAATGTGTGTCATAACTACTTAATTTCAGGAACACTTGTAGTTAACCATGATGATGTTGATATAACACTTTTAGTTAATGTTCGCAAAAAAAAAACTCAAGATACCCTATCATACATTCATACGCCTTTTTTAAGTCAATGTACACCAATGATGTTCTGGACCTTTGGTGGATATTGATTACAAAGATTGAATAGCCGGTAATGGTGCATTTGTAACATGGTGCTTTCTGACTTATTATCACAATATCACCATAATTTGCAAGACTTCTAGATTAGTTACAGAAGTATACCTAAAGCAAAATTAGTTATCTATAAAAACTTGTATTCTAGATAATAATGTGGTCTTATTGAACATGCATAAGATCATTTTTCAGTTGTGTATAGGTTTCCCCTTCTGGTTATGTTTTTTTAATCATTAGATGCTTGATGTAACTTATGTATTGATTCCACAATGTAGGTTGGATTTATAAATTCTTTAGCTTTTGCAAAATCCGGACGTTTCCTTGTTGCGGGAGTTGGAAAGGTAAAGTGCTTTCAATGTCCACCTTACTTTTTTTAGCCAGGTGTAGGTGTTAAGTATTCTGATACTTTATTTGACTCAAAATATTCTCAAGTTCTCTGGAGTAGTATAAGCTTGACCGATGTAGGTTAAATCCAAAATCCTTACTTTCTTGGCTGGGTGATCTGTCCTCCCTTGTTGTTCTGAAGGGAGCATCATCAGACTATAAGGGGCTTTATCACTGCTTAAATTATACTTCTTGTCCTGTTTCCGAGGCATATTTGGATAGTCCCAAATTTAAGTCATTTATGTACTACCTCCGTCCCATTTTATGTGTCCTGCTTTGGTTTGTCAGAATTATTAATAGTGGTTGAAAAAGTAAAAGTTGGGGTTGAGATTTGAGTATAATAAAGTGAAATGTTTTAGACCACATATTTCTTTCCAAAAAGGAAATGTGACACTTATTTTGGGGCAACCCAAAAAAGGAAAATAGGACAGGTAACATGGGACGAAGGGAGTATCGTCACTGCAGATTAAACTTTTCCTTTCACATTTGTCCCTCTTGAAAACATAGAAACATCTTATGCATAGAAAAGTTTAAGGGCATATTAGGAAAGGTGGATATCACTTTAAACTCTTTTGATCATTTATTTCTTTGATTTGCGTAAAAGCCAAAATCATTCTTTGTAAGGACCCATGGAGTAATATACTTGCATTTCTTTTTACAGGAACCTCGATTAGGAAGATGGGGTCGGATTGGCGATGGCCAAAATGGAGTAGCTATGCATTCTTTTGAGCTAGAGTGAAGTTGTTAGATTGGTTTGGTCAATCCAACTTCTGTTCAAAATGTTCTCTATACAACACCAAGTTAAGGCCCTTATGGGACCTAAGTTTTGTAAGGTGGTCCACAAATTTTCGATTATAGAAGGTCTAGCTCTGCATACACGTGCTTTCTTAGATGACTTCCATGCCTTTTTGGAGGCTTAGGGTTTTCTTCTTTCTTAATCGATTTTCGAGAGTTATATGTAAGCATCGTTATTTTCGAGAGTTATTTTGTTTGTAGCATTGCCTTGAACTCTCCATAGTTGCACAACTCATCGTATGGCCTGAATTACTTATTAATTGTACAACTCATTTTGCGGGTCTAAAGTATTTGTTTGTTTTGCCATTCCTTGTAAAATGTGATGTTCGGTTTGAGTTTTACTATTTGTACAATTGGACATCACTTTTAACTCCCGGTAGTTATGGCGTATTGTAGACTTGTAGATATGCTCATATGCCTGACTGGTTTATTATAGGGACATGCTTGGTGTACACAAGATGTAGACAAAATGTGTACATTGCCTGTTTAGGCAACTAGGGGGGTTTTGTGTACAGTTTTAGGGTTGGATTCGGTTCGGGCCACCCGGCCCGTGACCCGGCCCGGTACTGTGCGGGCCCGGGCCCGGGACCGGCCCGGTCGGGCGGTCCGGGACCGGGTATGGACCCGAACCGGTGGGAAGGGGCGGGGCGGGCTCGGTGCTGGATTATTGTGACCCGGCTCGGGTCTGGGTCTAATTTAAAAAAAAAATGGTTTGGGCTACTAGCCGTTGAGGGTGGGGCTGGGGACAACCCAAACAGCTATATAGCCGTTGGGTGGGGTAAAGGGGGGGTCCGGGGGGGTTGGCTGGTGGGGGTGGTGGGGGGTGGTGGGGGGTAAAAAAACCTATAAATACTCCTAAAAGTCATAATCTTAAACATTTTTTCATCTCTTCTCCAATTCTTCCTAAATCCTATTCTTAACTCTCTACTCTCTAATTCTCTTATTCTCCAATATATTATATTTATTATTTATATATCTACTTTATAGTTTATACTTAAGAAGTTAAGATGGAAAATCAAGATGCCATTATACGGTATAATTTTGATAAGCAGAAGGACCCGAAGACCGGGATGTGGTACGCAATTTGCAAATGGTGCGAGAAAAAATGTAGCATGGGGGTTTCTGGTGGATTCAGAATGGCAATCAAGCATATGAAGTCATGTGACAAAGCCAAAGGATCGGGAGGTGCGGGAAGTTCCGATTGATTACAATTTTCAAAATAATTATGTGTTAAAGTTTGTTTTAATTTTCAAATGTAGTTCCTATTTCATTTCAAATAAATGCAATTGAAGTTTGTTTTTAATACTCGTATAAAACTATAAACTATAAAATATAAATTATAAAAAAAATTTAACCGGCCCGAACCGGACCCGACCCGTGACCCGGGCGGGTGGCCCGGCCCGGACCGGACCCGTCCAACCCTCGGGCCGGTCCCGGGCCCATGTCATACTACCCGGCGGCCCGACCGGGCCCGACCCGGCCCGAGTCCATCAATATACAGTTTGTGTACAACTCATGTTCACTAAGCATTTCCTTTATTTTAAGATTTGACGCCATTTTTCGTTACTCAGTCCGAAATTTGGTGCTATACTGCTATAATGCTATGTATAGGGGTGGATTCGGGCCGGGCAGGGTCGGGCCTAGGCTCGGGCGGGCCGGGGGTTCTGAATAGGTGGACCCGGGACCGGCTTGGGTAGCCACCGGGTCCGGGCCGGGCCGGTCGGGCCTCGAGCTTGGTTAATTTTTGTGTTTTTTCTTACCTACCTATCCCTGACCCCCCTCATCCCCCACCCCCCAAACCCCTTCTAAACATCAAGCCCAACCCGAGTGGAGCCCAAAAAAATGAAAAAAAAAAAGTCAATTTGGCCTGAACCGAGTAGGAGTGGACTCGGGCCAGGCCAACCGGCCCGGAATCGGACCGGCCCACTACTGTGTGGGCCCGGACCGGCCTGGTGAACCGGTTGGTTTCCCGGTTCAGGATACCCGGCTCGGTGGGATGGCGGTTCGGGCTCGAGCCCTTCAAAAGGTGAACCAGCTCGGCCGGTTCGGGCCCGTGTCGAGCCAATTTATTAATTTTTTTGATTTTTTTTTTTAAGTTTTTGGGTTGGGCTGGGTATTTTGGGCCATTTGAGATGGTTAGGGTTGATTTGGGGGTGAGGGGGAGGGTTGGGGGTTAACTAGGAAAAGCCAAAAAAAAAAATTAGAACCGAGGCCCGGACCCGGGGGTTACTCGGGCCGGTTCCGGGCCTCCCCTTCATGAACCGAGGCCCGGCCGGGCCCGAACCGGAACCGGTCCACCCCTAGAACCGGGGCCAGACCCGAAGAACCGGACCGGGCCGGTTCCTGGACTGGGTGGCCCAAACCGAGTCCAAGACTAGCTATGTATGTTTCGTCCAACAAGCATGCCTAGGGTTGGATCGATTCGGTTCCAGTATAGTTCCTGATCCGGCTGGTGTTCGCATGGCACAACACATGGTCTGTACAACACATGGTCTCTATTATTTTCGCTTTTAATTCTGGTTTTCTTTTTTGATTTTTACAATTGGGTAAGATGTGCCGATGTGGTCCCCCTAATTGTATTTTTATGTTTTAGGTACTCTGTATTTTTGAAGGGAATGCTCTTTCAAAAGAGGTTTTGTATAGCTCCTCTTCATCTATATCCTTTTCTTTCTTAATAAAATTTTGGCAAATGTTCCTAGGCAAAAAAAAAAACAATAAGGATGTTTTGTTTTGGACTGTTTTCAGTCTCAGACCAGACTTAAACAGACCAAACTTAAAAGATTAGATTGGACTTGGATAGTTATAAAATACATAGAGACTAGACATTTACTACATCATATCAGACCAATTCAGACGATGCTAGATTTAAATAGACTAGACCAGACTAGCAAATTTCAGTCCAAAAGAGAACATCATAAGTCTGCTTTTTCTTTTCTACCAGACCGTTCTGGATTGCTTACAATTCGAATTTCTTTTTTCTTTTTTCCCCTTTTAACTTTTTATTGTTACATATTAATTTTTAAAAGGAATTTTCCTATATAATATAATAATCTTATAATCATAAGCCCGTACATCAGACTCAACACTAATTCCCACTAGGACAGGGTCTGAAAATCGAAAATCGAATAAAATAAAATTGAACCGCGGCTAAATAAAACTAAAACGCTAAAAAATTGAAACCGGTTGTAAAAAATTGAATCAAATTGTAGTTGTTTAATTCAGTTTTGGTTTTTACCCTTCAAAATCGAACCAAATCGTAGTTGTTTGATTCGGTTTTGGTTTTTACCCTTCAAAACCGAACTGAACTGAATCGAACAAACCTATTTTATTTGTTAATTGTTATGCATGAATCCTAATTAATCCCAATATCATCAATAGTCTTTGATTTTCTTGTTGTAGAGAAATAATGTTTGTGTTACGTTTAATTTAGTTTATAAATGCATTTACACATTCATTGCTTATAAAAATGTAGTTATATTATTGACGTATTATGTCTTTTATGTATGTATGTTGCAATTTGTTGCATGATGATATGTTTTTACTGATTATTAGTAGTAATTAACTTTGATTTTTATGTAATTTAAAGTTTTTATATCAATAAAACAAATAAATATTCTTCTCAACATTATCACACAGGACATATATTCATGAACTTTTTTCAAACTAGTCACAAATAAGGTCAATTAAGAATATATACATTTTTATTTATCTGACATACTCATATAATTCAAGACATTTATTTCTTCTCATTTTTATTTTATTAGTTCTTGTATGCTTGCATTTTTTATGTAATATGTTTGATCCCTCTAATTATTATATTAATTTTAAATCAAATGAATTTTTTTTTAGTAAAAACCTGAAAAAATCGAAACTGGACTGAAACAAACTGAACCAATGAAACCGTGGTTCCAAGTTTTGGAGTGTAAAACCGAATCGAAACTGAATCAAAGATTTTATTTTGGTTTCATATTTGGTTTAGGTCAAAATCGAAGCGAAAGAATCGAACTCACCCCTAATTCCTACCTTCCTTCTAGACTCAACACAATTCAAATCCCTCTCATACTCTGATTAGATTAGAAAAGATCACTTTGAAGTAAGTAAATCATTTCTATAATTATGTGAGAGTTTTGAAGATTTATTAAGTCTTAGAGTCTTGTATTTATATTGGTAACAGAACTATATGTCACCAGATTGAGACATGCATATACACCATGGACCAAAATAAATGACAAATTAAATAAGGATGTTTTTATTTGAATTTATTTCAGTCTCGGACCACATCAATTTAGACCAAATCAGATAAAGTTTCGACAGTTGTAAAATACACAGACGGGAAACATCTATTAGACCAATTCAAACAAGAGTTGAGACCAGCCAAATTCGTTTTTGAATCTACATTTAGACTGACCCCCTTTATACAATACAATTAACGCTTATTCAATCTGATACTCAATTAAAATCAAGTATAGGCCTCCAACCTTAATTATTTCGTTCATCTCCTGTCAATGGTTCTGATACTCAAAAGATTCACTATTTCTTCGCTTGAAAATATAATGGAATAAAACAAAATGACTCACTAAACTATCTACGCTTCTATGAAGCAACAATTAATTCATGCAACTTTCGACGTGATTTTCACGATGGATCATCCAGAAACAGTATCTTTGTACTTTATTATAGGGGTGACCGTGTACATCTGACCCTCTTACTCCACCTTAGATGAGAGCCTTTGTAGTTGGAGTGATGATGACAATGATTATGATGATGTTGATGATGATAGATCTATGGTCGAAAGAACATCATAGATAATCTAGCAGAAGCAAGAACAATCTATATTCTATATACAACTAGTTGCTCCATACCTGCACCGTCATACTCTAAATCTTCAAAGCAGCGAACCACAGAAACGATCAATGTTGTCTACGATTCCAAAAACACCGAAGAAACGGCACACAACACCCTAGAACCTAGGCTAACGTGCCAAGCTTTGCCTCTTGTCCTTTTTTACTTAACTAAATATTTATGATCACTGTTATTGTTACAGGGTATAGATCAAATAAAAACCATTCTTATCGTGAAAATTGCAAATCATCCGCTTTTTTCACAGTGTGATGCATTATTACGTTTCTGTGTTGCACTTTTTCGCGTTGACAGAAAACTTTGACTTATTTACAAAAACGTCTCTGCATTTTTCTTATTTAGCATGGTTCGACTGAAGTTCAAAAAGTGCAACAAATCACTCTTAAAGTGCATCACATTCGGATAAAAGTGAACGTTTTCAGTTTTCACGTTAAGAAAGATTTTTATTTAATCCGAATCATATTGCTATATACCACATCTATAC